AATATCAATTACACTCATAAATCTAGTTTTTGATGGGCTTTAACCTGGTATAAATACTTTCTGATATTATCTGTCCTTTAGGTCGTGTAGGGGGGGAGAAAAAGGTTATGTAACACCCTGTACATGAACTGACCGGCGCCGATTTTTCAATTAAGCCTTTGTTAATTTTCCAGGCAACCAACAACCTCCAAAACCCGAAAAAATTTTCCGGATTTTCTAAAAATCCTCAACTTGACAGAAAACTAAGATCTAATTCAAAAGTCGGTGCCGGTCAGTCCATGTAGTTTCTTTTCTTTTATATAAAAAAAGAATAAACTCTCTACAATAAACCGCCATTAAAAATCTTGGGAAATACTTCAGGTGTCACTCTTATATAGTGAAAACGCTGTATTAAACGCTGTATATAATACCCAATTTTAGGACTTGTAGGAAAATACCTGTAACTTTTTGATGCAAAGTTATACAGAGTTGTGCGAGGTCTTATTTTGATCAGAAACGTTTGCTCCACAAATGTGTGTGTTCAGAAAAATTTTAATTGCATCAGTATACAGGAAAGAGCTATTATTTGAAGACTCGATTTTCCGAGACTCCTAGAAAACTTGCTCAAAATCCCCAAAAATTCAATTTTGTAACAAAAAGCGATACAGATTCTGAAAGCAGACACTTCAGGCTATCTCAAAACCGATTTTTTGATAGAAAATCACAATTTCTGAGAGGAGAGTGGGGTCCTTGATGCTTACATATAAATAAACGAAACAATTTTCGAATGATAGACAAAATTTTATGCCAATATTTCGCTCCAGAATTAAGTTTATATTTAAATGAAGTGAATAAGAAAATAAATGAATCAATAACTAATAAGACCGTCGTTATATAATTATCTTAAAGTTATGTTTAGATTAACTATATGAATAATATATTTAATTATTTATCTTATGTAATAAATTTATTGATTTTATCTTTTCTAGTTAATGGACTTGATTAATGAACAAAATTTAGAATGGACTCAATTAGTTCAACGTCAATTAAATGAATTGCATACTCTTAGACGACAACATACGAAAGAACAATGTGATTTATTAAGAGATTTATTAAGTGATACTCACAAAACACAGTCAAAAGAAATTAACGATAGACATTCAAGGTGAATATTTTATACTTTGTTTCAAAAACAGATATGATACTCGAGAGAGAACACATCAGAAAGACAATACTGTGATATTTATACACGACTTGATCAGCGAACTCTGATACCTGAGTGATATGAATGATAAAAACGTGTTGAAGATTTTGAGAAGATGTTTGTGTTTTTCTGAAACGAAAGATCGTATAGAGTGCGAGTACATGTCATAAATTTTCACCACATTCCTTAATATTTGATGGAAAAATGGAAAAAAACGTATCGAAATTTTACTCAATTAACAGAGTTAGCCAGAGATGGACAAGTCTAGTATTTTTTCAGTCTCAGTCTGCTAGAGGCTAAGTTCGCCTAGCAGTTAACACTTTTCAGTCTAAGTTCAGTCCCAGTTCGAAAACGTTCAGGCCAAGATCAGTCCGTGCCTGCCTTTTATCTGATTCACTTACATGATTACATGCTTCTTGTCGGTATTTTCACCGAATGATATTTTTTTCTTTATATCCTCGTTCAGATCGTTAGCGGTAACAACTAAGAGTTTTTCTCTACACTAGAATTCAAAAGTTGAACGGTTCAGAGATGTGTAAGTCCGATGTTTTTTAGTCCGATTCAAGTCCAAGTCTGCTAGAGACTAAGTTTAAATCAGTTCCAAATTGTTAAGTTTTAAGTTCGATATCAGTTCCAGCATACATTATTTTCTATTACAAATACATACAGGTTTTTTTTATCAGAAATCGACTTTTCTGAAACTGGCGTATTATTTCGACAATCCGTACATATTACACTCCTCGGTATCTTTTCCATGATCATGTGTTAGATTTCTGAAACACTTTTTTGTTCGATGTTAGATTATCCTTATTCGAGTTTTAATGTAAGTGTAAGAAGACTAAAAGATTTTTCACTGCAGAAAGGCAGACGAGTATTTAGAAGAAAGAAACGAATCAATCATCGAAAAAAAAAAACAGTAGTTTTTTATCATAACTCATCCTAACCGACCACACGATAACATGAAAAAGATAAAAGAGTGAATTCATTAAGTTCATGTGTTTGAATCTCTATTCGTACAAAAATTGATTTTATATTTTTCGATAGTTTTAGTTTAGAATAATATTAGTTGGAATATTTTTCCGCTTGTATTCTGACAGAATAAAGCTTATACTATACCAAAAAGAATGAATTCAATTTTTCTCTGACAATTTGAACTGAAAAGATCAGCCATAACTGTGAAAAAATCAGTTCAAGTCTCTTATACCTTTAGTCCCAGTCTGTGTGAAAAAATCTATCAGTCTGGACTTGCCCATCTATGGAGTTAGCTGGCCATGTCGTACTACAGATTGTAGTGTCATCTTGAAAATATACCGAGTACCATTGAGAATTTCAGTTTAGTAATGTTTAACTCGAGATAGTTCATTTATCACATCCCATTCATCTAAAAGACATTTTTTATTCAATGATAGTTGTGATATCTTCTTTAAACGATCTTGAGATGTTTGATGTTTTTCAATGGACAATGTATTTTTAGTAAAAATTCATTCATTTTTTTTTGTCGACAAAGTTGATAAGAAACTGAAAAACATTTTCTGTCTTGTATGTTTTCAAATTAATTATTCATTCTTTTTGTGTCTTATATTTCTAGAGAGAAAAAAGATTTGGAATTAAGTCAAGTACGACAGAATATTGAAGATAGTAAAAAATTAGAAGCAGATAAAAGTGTTCGTAGTAAAGCTGATCTAGAACGACGTGTAAGAGAATTAAAATCCAATAATACAAAGAAATTTTTAGAAGAAAGAAAACGTCTAGGATTTAAACAACAACGTGAATTAGATAATTTAACAAAATCACATGATCAACAACAAACAATATTAGGAAGTGAAATTGATAAAGTATGTATATTTAAAACTTATTAATTTACACCCATCAAGACCGTGTTTCTGCATAATTTTATTATTATTTATTATGCAGAGTCTGTGTTCTTGTACAGTAAAGATCAAAGTTCATTCTGAAATGATTCATTATACGTAAAACATTGTAGAAGTTTGATTCAATACATTCCTCAGAGCAGAACGAATAATGAGTACGATCAGATATTCGTACTCATACTCGAGACTTCGAACTCGATCATTTATACACATGTACTCGAGAAAATGTTCTTTTTACAGAAACTTTTCAACTGAGTAATATTTCATACGTTTCTAAAAGATTGACTAAGAAAATGTGGAAGAAGATTGAAATCAGAATAGATTAAATAAAAGTACATACTTAAAAACCTAACAATGTATTTATTAACATTTTTGGGAAAAAAACATACTCATACTCGAGGAATTACCTAAGAAAGAACGAAACTCAAATATAAACTTAAGAAAGTTTCAGATAGAACTTTATATGCACAAACTTCTATGAACTCTTTCATTAACTAAAAAAAGGTGCTTGTTTTCGACAAAGTTAAGTTGACATTGACGAGACAACAAGTACAAAACCTGTGACCATTTAAGAATGACAAGAGAAAAGATATCAGCAAAACTTGTCACTAGTATAAGTAGTAGCGGATGTTCCATAATAAATTGCACTAAATGTTAATGCATTTTTCTACCACTTCATATTTATAAAACAATTTCCTTTATATACCAAATGATATAGAATTTAATTCGCTACAAGACTGTATATTTTATGTTAAGATTTATCTTTGATGTTTGACGCCGTAACTCTAACAAGAAAAGTTAAAACATTTTTTAACTTCACTACGCAGTTTTAAAGTGCAAACTGCTCTCTTTTTTTAATTGTTTATAATGAGTACAAAAAAATTTGAAATAATTTTATTAAAGTCAAATGGTGAAGAATTTCGTGCTTTATAAAAGCGTTTACTTCAAGGAAATTTATTGTCAATTGCTAGTGGCTTTAATACATAAACTTTCAAGTCCACCGAAGTTTCTAGCACTAAAAAGAAGTTTTGACTATTCCAGTATAAAATCCAAAGTTCGAATAATCAGTCTATAGACGAAAAAATGCAGAATTTCGCGCTCTATTAGATTGTGTAACTTATAAATAAACCTACTACTTTTTTTACCTGAAAAACTAGGAAATACTGGATGTCGCTAAGACGGTCGAAAAATAGGAGAAAATGACTTTTTTCAAACACTCTTTTTCGCTCCGATTTCATCTAAAAAATCATTATTTCTCATTAAAAAGCCCATCATATTGTACAAAATTTATTGCTGAAATTGTATACTTTTCTTGTTGAATAAGTGATTTTTAGTAAGATTTTGAGCAAAACATCGATTTTTTAAAGGTGTAGTTAAAAGATTTGGAGCTTTTCTTGTTAGAGTTACTGCGTTAAACATTCAAAGATGAATGTTAACAATAAATATACAATTTTGTAGAGAGATTAAAGAGATTTGTAGAGATTAAATTGTCTATCGTTTGGTATATAGAGGAAATTGTTTTATCAATAGGAAGTGGTAGAAAAATGCATTAATATTTAGTGCAATTTATTATGGAACACCCGTTATACTTTTTTCCAATAGCCAGATGTTGTCTTGACACTCACTATTACATATCGAAATGTCCTCCAAATGGTGTACAGTTAATTCAAAGTTTGTAAAAGTCAAATATAGAGAGCTCAATTTTCATTTCTGAACTAAAATTTATGTTTTACAAAAGATTCTTAGTCAAGTCTCGATCAATCTGTAATTGTTCTCTAATATAGATGTTGTTCTAAGTTTAATTAATTCTATTTTGCTTTCGTAAGATCAATAATTTCAGTAAAAACCTAAGAACAACATCGGCTACTGGAAATGTCATTTGTAATTGAATAAAATATATATTTAACTAAAATGAGTACAAAAATAGATTATATATATAGAATTCGACGTGTCGAATTTCATTATCAAGAAAAATAAAAATATATAGACAAGAAACGTCCAATTCTGTATATGTAATCTATTTTTGTGTTCATTTTAATTAAATATATATTTTATTCAATTACAAATGGCATTTCCAGTAGGCGATGTTGCTTTTAGTTAATTGATACTAACTTAACTTGGTAGACATGAATCAAAAACTAACACTAACTTTTTCTGTTAGTCAGAGAGCCTATAATAGTTTATACATAGTCTTATGCGGCTTAACTATTCGACACCTTCTTAAGCTTATATTGGAGTTTCACCTTCTAAGATGGCATGGCTTAGTAGTTATGTTGTCCATCATGTACTTCAAACGTACTGTGTTCAGATCATGCGATAACATTGGTCAAGTTACTTACGTCTAACTGTCTC